GTGGGTGGGGAGGGCTGGGGGGTGCTCCTCCTGCGGGTGTGGCTGCTCGGCTGGGGGTGGGGAGGGCTTTGGCAGGGCTGAAGTCTACCATGGACTCCTCTCTCCTCCCTCAACCTCCGCAGGAGACCACCGCCTCCTGCGTTGTTGCCCTCTCTGGCGGAGATTCCTGGACTTCTGTGAGGACCAGCAGACCCTCGTGCCCGCCAGCCAGGTGCGAGTTCGGAGGAGGCCAGCGGTGTCTCCTTGAAGAGCCCACTCTGCCTGCCCACTGCCCTCGGGCTGCCAGGACTGCGAGGTGAAGTCCTGAGCCCCCTTCTGCCGCTGCCTTGCCAGGCCCCACTCAGCAGAATCCCACGTGCCTTCGGTGGGCACTGCTGGCCGCCCCGCCTACGTGGCTGGGTCTCTGCTGCGGTTCTGAGCAATAATCCCCTCCTGGAGTCTTGGCCTCTCCCCGGGGCGGGAGCAGGACAGACCCCGCCCTGCCAGCGTGCGCCTACACTTGGGAGGAAGAATCCGAGCTCTCCCCGCTGTGCTACTTTTGTGGGGACATTTGGTGACAGGGAACATCTCAGGGGTGTGGGATGGAGGGGGAAGTCCTCTGGACCTTCTGGTGTTGCTGGGAAGGTTTGGGGTGGGGAAGGAAATCCCAGTGGGGCTACTCTTCGGTCTTTGGATGCCATGCCTGACCACACTGGGTGCTGGGTGTGGAGCTCAGCCTTCTTTTCTTCTTTCTTTTTTTTTTTTTCAAGTAGGCTCCATGACCAGTGAGGGGCTTGAACTCATGGCCCTGAGATTAAGAGTTGCTTGTTCTACCAACTGAGCCAGCCAGACCACCCTATTTTCTATTTTTAAATAAACCAAACACCAGTGTCCTTTTTACTGGAACAAGTTCCTTAGCCCAAACTTAGGCAAAGATGCCTCCCTGGAACAGAGGGCCTTTTCTCTATCCCCACTACCCTGTCTAACTGGGATGCATAGCCCTGTGTCCTTCAGGGGTCACCTGCCCTTGCAGGAGGAAGGGCAGACCAGAACCAGATGCCCACACAGCCTTGCCTGGACCATGGGTGTGTGGGTGGGGACTGGGATTGAGGTGCCCCTGGATGGGCAGCCCTGTGCCTTCTCCCTGAGCTCTACCTCCCCTTTGCAACCTCAAGCCTGCTCCCAGGTCAGGGCTTTAGGGACAACCTGTCCTGTGTGTCTGTCTTTGTAAAGTTGAGGACCTTCACCTGTCCCTCAGGGTCTCAGGGTGCATTTATGTCCTAACTGCTCTGGAAACCCTTGCCTTGATATCGGCCCTCACCTCAGTACCCCCCCGCACCCCCCCCCAAGGCAGCTCTGACCCAGAGTCTCTGCACTTCCACTGTCCCTGTGGCCTGGGGGATGTGGCAAACAAGTTGCTTATACTAGGAGGGGCTTGCCCCCCTCTGTGGCCTTGCTGCAGAACCGTCTGCCAGTGTGTGGGGGGGAGTGGGGGGGAATGATGGTCTGATGTTTTCTACAAATCAATTTCTACATTCCAATTTTTATATATTTTCTTGGACTCTGTGTTATATGATTCAATAATAATTTTATTATAAAGACCACTCTGAATGTTTTTCTCACTTCTGGGTGTTTGAGATTTTACTGGGGGGCAAGAAGGGGAGGCGCCTCCTCTTGTTCTGGGTTGCAGGGTGGCTCCTGAGTCTGTCAAGAATCAAGAGCCCCTTCTAGCCAGATGCTGGCCAAGCAAGCACTCTGGGAGGGGCTGGTGTCCCCATGTCCCCATGTCACAGTGGACCACACAGCCAGTGGGCTGAGCAGGGTCTGTGCCAGAACAGTGGAAGCTGGGTGGGGGGCTGACTTAGTGAAGATGGGCCACAGGGACGAGCTGGATCCAGGCGATGCAGGCATGCCCAGCCTACTGAATGCAGACCCCAGGCCAAGTCCAAAGTCCCTGAGGCTGCCAGCCCTGCCAGTGTCCTGCATGGTCCAAGGTCTGAATGCTTGAGGACCCTGGAACGCCGCATACCTCCTCCAAGCCAACTTTGGCCATTCCGTATCTGGCTGGTTTGTTGCTCGGTGCCCAGTACCTCCAACCGCACCGCTGTATGAAGGAAGGCGGGCCCAGGCCCTGGCTTCCCTAGGTGCCCGCATGGGTATCAGACGGGTGTGGAGGTCACAGAGAGTCAAAGAGTCAAAGGCCTGCTCCGAGGCCTGTGTGTTCCTTGTGAGGCTACACAGGGAGCCAGACGGGCCCCGCCTGGGAGAGCACTTTCATTCCAGGCCAACCACGCAGGCATGGAGAAGTTTTACTACCTGGTCGAAAGCAGTCGAAACGAGGACCAACAGGCGCCCTGAGGCAGGAAGTCGGGACCTCTTCAGCCTGGAGTCAGGGAGGGCTTCACAGAGGAGCGGGCGTTGAAGCCCGGAGCGCGAGCGGGGCGGTGGGGAACCAGGGCGGGCGGGGCACCTGCGCGCAGAGGCGGCGCGAGGCGGGGCCGCAGGCGGAGGGCGGGCCTCGCCGCAAAGAGGGTCAAGGTTTCGGGTCAGGCGCGTTCTCGTGCAAGGCGGCGAAACAAACGGAGCTCGGCGCAGAGAAAAAGCGCTTGGCCCTGCGCGCGAGCGAGGTCTAAAGACGCGGGCGCGCCAGGCCTGGTGGTGCGGGGGCCCTCACAGCGGGGACCTGCCGCGGGGCTGGCCTCTGGGCAGCTGCCGTCGCATGAGGGCTGGAGGCGCGGGGATCCGGGATGACCCCCAGCCGCCTGGCCCATAGCCGCCTGCCTTGGAGAACCGCGACTCCAGCCTGCCCCCTTCTTGGTGGGATGGATGGTATGACCTGGCACAAAGCCCAATCCCTGGTCCCTGGCCAGTTCTTGCTTCTCTCCCTGCCTCCTCCCCCTACCCTGTGCCCTACCTCCACAGAGGGTCATTTCCGGTCATTTCCGAGGAGTACCATGGCTTTGCTCTGGACCCCTCCCCCTCTTTCCCCCCTCTCCAGGATGCCTTGGGGTGACGGGACCCTGAGGAACGCCCAGGAGTGTCCGCCCCATAGCCACATGATGCGACAGAGGGTGTGACAGTCTGGCTTGACCTCCTGAATGGCATGCAGTGGCACACAGTGGGTCAGCTACTGGAGAGGCCTAGGAGGACCGTCTCCCTCTCTGTCTGTAGCGGGTTTGGGTGGGGGTGGGGGGTGGGCAGGTCCTGGGGCCTTTCCGACAGCTGGGGACCTGCTCTCTCCAAACCACTTCTCTGCCAGTGGGGGAGACAGTCCCGTTCCCGGTCATCTTGCCCTGTAGGCCTTCTGCTCTCAGAGGGCCTAGTGGCCCGTATGATGGGCAAGGGAGCGGAGGACAGCTCAGCATACTGGCAGCTCCCCTTGGCCATGGCACACGGTGCTGTGCCTCCTGGACCTGGACACAGCCAAGCTGCAGCAGCAGGCAGATGCCGACCTTCGCATCACCTGCGTCAGGACGTGGACGTGAGCGTGGGGAGGGAGGGGGCTGCTGGCCACACTGGTGGTCACACGACCGTGCGGGGGGAGGGGGGGCAAGGACAGCCTACTGAGGCAGCAGGGAGGGGCCGGACCCCCCCACGAGGCTGGGCACTGGCCTGTGTCTCGGGGAGTCCCTCTGCCAGGCTCCCTTGCCTGGGGCCCTCAGCCACCTTAGGACAGGAGTACAGATGAGCTTCAGCTTCTTTTGGGGAGAAGGCCTTGTCATTTAAAAAACACAATGTCCTGATGGCCTGGGCGCCCTCTGCCCTAACTCCAGTGATGCTGGGGGCAATAGGATGGGGCATGACTGCCCCCAACGAGGTTATTGTTCCCCTTAGGGAGCCCTGGCCTAGGACACAGGAAGAGACAGCCAGGGCCTGTGTCAGGGTCTCAGGGCTGCTTCCGGTGCCGGAGACGGGGAGGGGGAGATGCAGGAGGGGCTGCCGCTTTGGCAGAGCCCCTCGGAGAAGCTCTCGTCCTTGCTCGGGGCAGCCAGCTGCCAGGGCTGCTCGTCTTTCTCCTGGGACGGCGATCCTGGAAGGTCCAGCCTGAGGTGTCCCCTGGGAAGGGGGCAGGAACCTGGGGGGCCTGGGGCTGGGGGGGGAGGCTGCGCAGAGTCAGACTCGCACAGCTGCAGCTGCGTCTAAAACGTAAGTAGGTTTGTTTCTTTAATTGTGTGTGTGTGTTTATAGTCTTTATTAGGGGATAAATATTAGAAAATCATCTCTCAGAAAGTGTGGTCAGGGGCAGGCCCGGCTTGCCTAGCCGACTGGGGGTGGGCCCTTCTGGGGGCCCCGGCCTGGTCTGCAGGGTGAGGCTGTCCCGCCAGGGCTCATACACCAGCGTGTAGCTCTCTGCTCTCTTGACGGTGAACCTGTAGGAGCGGTTGGGCAGCAGGTTGTGGACGTCGAAGGTGCAGGCGGCCACGGGGATGATGCCGCCCTGCATGCACTCCTGCTGTGTCCGTGGGTCCAGCAGCTTGAAGCGCAGCTCGAACTGCTCCGGGGCCGCCGGCTGGGTGGTGACAAACCAGCGCAGGCTGGCCCAGTCCTGGTGGGCCACCGACCCCTTTCGGTCGAACATGACGGGCGTCTTGGTGCTCAGCATGAGCCTGATGTGCGGGATCTTGGTGGCGCCGATGTCAGACACCAGGCGGTGCTTGATGTGCAGGTGCCCAGGTACCATCGTGGCCAGGAAGCTGTCCATGACTGCCGACAGGTCTGCCAGCCTCTGTGCCACCAGCCCCCAGCCCGCCAGAAAGGGCTGCGGGTCAGGCGACTCCAGCAGAGCGTCCAGCTCGGCGCGGCCATGGTCCAGCTGCTCCAGCAGGGCCCCGAGCAGCAGGAGTTGGATCTTGGTCTGGGCGGTGCCCACCTTCTTCATGCGCTGGAACTTCCAGGGGTCGATGAGCTGGAACATGGTGTTGGGCAGCACCAGGGGGTTCTGGTCCCCCAGGGCCAGGTGCTTGGGGAGGATCTCGATGTAGTAGGAACACTTCTTGAGCAGTTCCATGCGGGCATGGTGGCGCTTGAGCAGGTGGGGGCTCAGGTCCGAGGTCAGGAACTCGCGCAGCACCGTGCGGCGCTCCATGTAGGCCCTCCAAGCCTCTGGTTCCAGCAGCTGCTGATCCTCAGCCTCCTCGGCCTCCTCCTGGTCCAGGAAGGACTGGGGACTGTCCAGCTTCATCTTGTCCAGGCCCAGGCCTGTCACCTGGAAGTTCATGTCTGGGAGCAGGGGGCAGAGGGTGGGGTGTGAGCTGACACAGTCAGTTGGCCTCTGCCACCCACCCGGGGGCTCACTCAGGTCAGTGTGTGGGGGGGGGGGGAGGGGTGGCTTCAGGCCCACTGCCCTCCATACTGGGCCCTCTGTCCTCCCCCAGGGGAAGGAGCTCGTGGGGAGAGCACATCTCTCTGGGAAAAGGCTGCCGATCTGGATAAAACTGGACACTGAGGGGCAACCACTCTACTAATTATCCATTGTGATGACACAGGGACACGGGGAAGGGCTGAGACAATGGGCCCTAGGGCTAGACGGGCCCGGGCAGGAACTCAGCCACTGACCAGCTGTGTGGCCTGGCCAAAGCCTCAGGTCCTCGTCTGAATGGGGTGAAGGTGCTGCCTCGGGACTGTTGAGAGGATTCAGTGCGATCCTGTCTGTGCGGCACCACACTCCCCCCAGGGGACACCACGTCCCTGCGGACCTTCCATGCCTCACTGTCACTGCAGATCAGAGCAAAGGGCCAGGGCTCAGCCCAAGACAAGGCCAGGTGGTGGCTGGAGCCAGTGAAGGAGGCAGGGTAGCCCCGGGCCTCGCCTTCTAGTTAGTTACTGAGCCCCCACTCTATGCCTTGAAGCCCCTCAGAGTGGTGAGGTCCTGTCATCTCATCTCACAGAAGGGGGGCCTG